ACTCTCTTGGGGAGCGTCCTGCTGTGGATTTGAACAATCCATGTAGTCATCATGGAAGACTGAAGAACTTTCTTATCCAAAGACCAGGTCTCAGAGATTCTCAGCTTTCCTTTTTGCCTTGCTCGGTGTCCTACGGCACTCTCCTGCTCTGTCATCAGCTGGACTACAAGACACCTATTGTTCATCCCACTGCAGCAACAACATTCAGTTCTGTGCAAAGGACCCATGAGACTCATGCCATGGATGCATAGTCTCAAATCACACCACTAGCTTGGTGCCTATTTAAAACATCAGATAACTTTTCCCAAGTGGTGCCAGCTCTCACGCTTCTCTGCTAGTCTTGACCTCTGATCTTCCTTACTAACCCACCCTGATTTGGTACCTCCTCCCTCAGATGTAGGCATAGATATCTTTCTCCCGTAGTTCTCCTTCACATTGAACAAGTGGGATTTATGCCTACACTCCAAGTCCAGCTTCATGTACAGAATCCTAGAACTAGAGACCAGAAAATCTTGCAGGCCAACACCTCTATATTATGAAGCCATGGCCCTGAGTGGTCGAATAACTTTCCCCTACTTATGGCACACTGTCCAGTGGTATCCTGACCAGTGGGACCCTACCCCCTAGCAATACGTTTCCAAGCCCAGAGAGAGTCTTCATGTTTCCAGTGCTACTAGGGTTTTCATTCCCAATACTGATCTCAAACCAGTCCCCTCTCAGGGGAAAGAGGCAGTGTTTGGGCAGAATTTACCCACAGAGTTATACTAACCAGTTTATGTTTTGTCCATTTGAGATCTGTGGTCACCAGGCAGGAAGGGACAGCCACAATTGGCTTGATTGGGTTTCCTGACAGTTCCACCACACTGACCATATTCTTCCTTTTAAAGAAGGTAGACATGAGATAATTAATTACTTTCTTTCATTGTAGGAAGAACTGAGGCTTCAGAGCCTTTGAAAAGCAAACAGAAAGTCATTCTGTTGCTGGGTTTTAAATAGTGCAGTGACCCTCTTCCCTGAATATAAAGTAACCACCGTATCAATAGTCCTTCTTTTCACTTATCACTTGCCTGAGCAGGAAAGCTGTGAACCATGTAAAGAGAAAAATGACAGCTGGAGAGAGGAGTCCCAGAAAACCGTATTTAAGGTATACAAAGAAAAAAACCTTAGACTCAAAAACCATTAAAACTGAAAAGGCCTTCGTGACAATGAGTTCAACACCATTTTTAGGTGAAAAAAATTGAAGCCTAGAGAAGAAGCTTTGCCAAAGTCAGAGATTCTAGAAAGCTCAAGAAAGACAGAGACCTAGAGTCCGACAGAGCCACACTAATCAGTTAAGGTAGACCTTTATTTTTGCAATATGTGCTGATAAAATAGTATGTGTAAATTGATTTTTGGTAAAATCAAATTAAATGTGAAGTCTATTATGTATTATGGGAATTTACAGTTTACAGGAATCCTATGATAAAGCCTGAAAAGTAATTTTCTTCCCTTTTCCATTGCTCTTTTCTACTTTAAATCTGCATTTGCCTACAAGGGAATTGCTAAGGCCAAAGATATTGGCAATTTAGTGAATTCTTACCGTTGAGTTTGTTTTCTTACTATGAGGAAAATGATGAAATGGTCATATAATTAAAGCGCTGAACTACAGACCAGGAATCCAAACACCAGTCCAGATCTGCCATTACCAGCTTTGTGGCTGGGGTGAGCAACTGAACCTCCGTGGGCATCTACTTCCTCACCTGTTATTCTAGAATAATCACTCAGGCCTCTCCTTCCCTGAAGCTGGAGCTGGTCCTCAAACCTAGAAGCGCGGATCCCATTAGAGGCATGCACCCACGTGACACGCGAGGTGGCTCAAAGGACCCTGCTGCATCTCTTTTCCTTCTTTAGGACCCTGACACTGAAAGTGTGGTCCCTGGACCAGGAGCAGCAACGTCCCCTGGGAGCTCAGCAGAAGTGCAGGCCTCGCCCAGACCTGCGGAATCAGATCTGCAAGGGCTCTAGGAGATTCAGATGCACATTTAAGTTTGAGAAGGATTGGCTTAGGATGCTCACCCAGGTTCCCAGATGATAGAGGCTCTTCTCTGAGCTCTCTCCCTTCCCGATTTTGCATCTGCCTATGTGTTGCTGGAGAAAGCCAGTGAGCCCTGGCTCTGCTGTCCTTCCCGTGTCTGCCTGGTCTCTCCTCTCAGCTGCTGCACACAGTAAGTGCGCATGTTGACTGACAACAGCAAGAAATGTCAATGTATCCCTGGGGCAGGGGGCCGTTAAAGGCAGAGACAAGAAATATAAACAGACAATCACCTGGGACCATATAGTTTAGAGACAAACAGTCCCAAACAACTCAACAAACTGAATAGATAGCATTTCACACCTCTCCAAACAGCAAAAAAAAATTATAATTTTTATTCCTTTTAAAATATTTTACTTTTAATTGTGAAACATTGTAGACATACTGAAAATAATATAACAAATACATATACCACTTAGAACTATATATATTAATATTTTACCCTATTTGCTTTGGTTTCTCCCTTTTTTAATAGACAAATGTAAAGCCTCACCCCATTCACCCCGCATCCTCCCTTGCCGCTCTCCGGAATTTGTGGGTATCACTCCACGTGGGACTTTATACTTTTCCTGGATCTATCTGTGCCCATAGCCAACGCATACTCCTGTTTTTGTCACACTGTATATATCTTTTGGAATTTGTGTTTCTCACTCAACATTATGTATTAAGTTCATTTACATTTTTTAAACTGCTGTTTAGTATTTAACTGAATGAATAAAACACTGAGGGACGGTTAGGTTGAAGGAAACGAGAAGGGCTGTTTAGGGTAAACAAACAAATTTTTAATTACGTGTCTAGTACATTTTAGGTCAAAGATCCTCTGTATCTGATTCTAAGAATCCCACCCCCTTTTCCTGGTCTCAACCTATCCTTTCCTCCCCTGAGATGAACACTCTCCTCCAGATCTTCCTAACTTCTCCCAAGGTCATTGCCAGAGCAGAGAGCGCCATTCCTTTGGGTGGTGGTAGGAAGGTAGAGGACCAGCCACCCCAGGGCCCACAGCCAAGTGGCCTCATGTCCCCCTGTGTGATCGTGTGGTCCTCAATTAAATTGCGCATGACTGGAGAAGGCTCTACTCCCTGCACCCAGCAATATATGGAGAAAATGCAAACACTTTATTGCTACAATTTATCCTAAAGGAGATTTGCAAACCCGCATGCCTGCGATTTATGGTGTGACATCCAGAGATTTCATGCACTGTATTTCTCATTTATGGGCCTCAATTTAGTTAAGAGAAAAGAAGCTTTCTAGAGCAAAAACACCCTTAAGCTTTGGTAAGATGGGATATTTAATTAATTCCAAAATCACCAAGCGGGTAAAGAATGAGTCTCAAGCCTGTGTGTTCAGGCATCCCCTGGGCCCGCTTGTTAGCTCCCTCCTAGGTCTGGGAACAGAGCTGTGTACCCAGAAAGACTGAGTCTGTGGTTCGGGGCTCCGAGCCTACGACTGCTCTGGCTGTGTGCCTAGAAACCTCAGGGTTGCACCTTTCCCCAGGACAGGGTAGCTCTGCCTGCCGCAGAGTGAACCTTCATTAGGGACGTCGCAGGAGATGTGTAGGTGCCTCTGATGGTCCCAGGCCCTGGAGCTCTCTCTAACACACCCCCTCCTCCCAATGTGATCGGGCCCCTCAGGCCCACAACAGCCAAGCCATCCTTTCTTTCCTACCAATCTAGGACACTCTCATGAGGAAATAGGATGTCATGCCTCATTAGGTGACATTCACCTTGGTCTAGGGTCCCATACTTTGCAGGACCAGAAACTTGATTTCTTTCAGTGCTCCTAAAAGGAGTCATTCTCCAGGCGTCTACCTTATCAGTAACCAAATTCACAAGCCAGGTGTCTTCCCACCCTCCACACTTGCTCCTGCCATTCCAGCAAGCTGAGACACACTCAATTTCCCTTACCTTTCCAAATTCCACCTGCCCTTCAAAACTCAGCTTAAATGTTTAGGTCCTCCTTGAAGCCTCTTCTCAGGCCACCCAGCTTTCAAATGATCCTTTCCTTTGAATATGTCCAGTGTGGGTTGTTAACACACTTTGAGTATCTATCCTCGATAACCTGGTGGTGTAAACTGATGTGCATATGCAAATGATGCATTTCTAGTCAGTCTGTAGGAGCCTTGAGAGCGTAGAATAAGCCCTTTACTTCAAAAATCTCCTCAAGTTCAACACAGGGTAAGGAGTAGTGGAAAGAAGGCAGCGGCCACCTGGGAGGAGTCCTCCACCTGCGCACGGCTCTGTTTCCACATGCGCACAGTGATGGGGGCCCCCGCCCTGCCTTTCCTGGAATGGGCTTGGATGACTCGTGGCAGACAATGGATGTGAAAGCTGTTTTGAGGCTGCAAAGCACTTTGTACAGAATCAGGATTGTTGTAATCATGTGTACAGTAAAAGACAGTTTGCCAACAGACTCTAAATGGAGCACACAGAGAGTTGTCCTCCCCCAGAGATCAGAGGAGGGAGCCAAGGACCATATTCATATTTATGTTTATATTCACATGCGTTTGTGCTCATATCATATTTGTGGTTACATTAACGCATAGACTGCCACACTAGAAAAACAATTTTTTGCCTTGGGGCCACGATGTTTTATATGAAAATAGAATAAAAACTTCGAAAACAAGACAATCCTTTCTATTTTAATGAAAAATTTATTATTTTTTATTGTTTTCTGTATGTAAGTTACACGCAACTTGAAAAATAGTTCAAACAGCTCCAAGGTAAAGAGATGTGTGAGTTATTATACACATGCTTCACCAGACCCCAGGCTCAAAACTAACGTGAGTTAAATGCAACTCATATGGCACTTAATGTGTTCACACTCCTATTTCTATCTGTTGGGTCTGGAGCCAAAAGCAGCAAACCTGGGAGCTGAAGGTGAGACGTTCTCTCCTTTTCTATGGCTGGAGAAGCCTGCATCGAGAGGGCAGTGCTCTGCACAGCTTATCTGCATTGAACTCGGACTTGGGGAAAGTCTTTTTCTTTCTTGTTCAAAATTCACGTGCTATCTGCTGGCAAAAGCTTCTTCCTTGCTTTGCCCATGTGCTCCCACACAGCACCTCCAGCTAGAAATCAAGATTTCAGATTCTAAATCACACTCAAACTCAGTTCAGGTTTCCTGAGTGGCAGCCCGGTGCTGACCAGGTAAGCAATTTGTCCTAAGTCACCCAGCCGTATCTGAAGTCCCCACATTTCTTGTTGCCCCTGCCCACACAGACCCCCACACACACCCTTTACACCCCCTGTGCTATCACTGCACCCCTGAAACTGGCAGTTGGTTGGGATCCGTCACCCTCAGAACTGCCATGTCCTGGAGCAGGAAGATATGGGCCCTTTGAGAGGGTCATCCCTTTAATCCATAACCTTCAAAATCTGGGTCCCACTCTGGGTTATTAAAAATCACATCATGCCTCTGATTAAATGGCCTGGAGCTAAGGTTGGGGACTTTCTGACTTGCTTAGCTGGAAAGGAAAGAAACCAACATCACTCGAATGCTCGTGTGCCAAGCACTCTACTAGGCAATTGTATGGTTTCAATCTTGCTCAATCCTCAGCACAACTAGAGAGCTAAATATTGCAATTTATTTTATAATATGGAATCTCAGAAAGGTTAAGTAAGTGTGCCCCAGACCACACAGCTGGTACGTGACAGAGCACCCCTCTCTTTTGCCTGATGCTGCCTCTGGTACTGCCTGTGTTAATGACGACCATGTCACTTCCAGGCCTCCTGGTCATTCCAGTCTCTGTGACCCATTCAGACCTACATCAGGAAGCGTCTCCCTGCTCCTATTCACATACCCAAACCTCACCCTCTCTCATGAATTCTCTCTTCCCCTGGACACCACAGCCCTTCGAGTCCAGGTGCTCCCAATCTAGACCTCAACTTAGACCCTGCGGCACCCTCTGCCCACCAGGCAACAAACGGAGTCCCACCTCCCCACCATGCAGTTAGTGCCGTAGGCAGAGCATGGGGCCCACAAGGAACTTTAAGAGTGGGGAGCCACAGTGGACCCTCGATTTGGCTGGAATTTCATTATTAACAGTCATTTATTTGGCTCAAGAATTACGGTTGCTAATAGGGGCAGTGATAATGCACTAAGCCTTATCAGGCATTACGTGGTGCTTTGATTTCAGTTTGTGAAAGCAATTTTGATAAGAAAGGAAGAGTTGATGTGCTGCCCATTGGGACTGCTCAGGGACAATTAGAAGAAGAGTAGCAGTTGGGGGAAGAAGACAATTGAGTCGGGGAGGGGTGAGAAAGGCCAAGGGAGGCTTTGCCCACCTGCCAAGCTTGCCTGAGGGCCAGGTGGCTGATGACTGCTTAGACAAGGAGTCTAAATGGGAGAAGAAGAAGAGTGTGTAGGAATCATCAGGCCTGTCCCAAGAAATTATAGAAAAGAACCACTAAGGTCCAAAAGAGGCAGCCATTGCCTTTTTAAAACACAAATCTGACCCTGTCCCTCCCACACTGCAAACTCTTGAGTGCTATTAGCCGCCTCGCCAGGCTCCCGTCTCCATGCGACGGTCTCGTCCATGACCTGTTGACACGGGCAAATTTTGACTTTTCTTCCGTTCAGTAAATAACTATTTAGTGTCTAGTATGTTCTAGCCCCTTTAGAAACCAACTGAAATGTGATTTCCTCAGCACTTTCTTTATTGTTCCCAGTCAAATTAGTCCTCCCCACACATAGCCCCCGAAACGGTTCTTTCAACATTTGTCCCTATTTATAACTAAACATTTATTGGTGTGTTCATTCCTTTAAAGTCTGCCCCTCTCGCCCCACCTAGACTGTCAACTCCTTGAGGGCAGGGAAGTTTGTTCACCATGGTGAAGTGTGTTGATTGTCTAACACATAGTGGGCATTAATGAATGCTTATTGAATGAATGAATCAATGAATCAATGAAATGTGCTAGGGGCTGGGGACATAACAAACTGAAGGTGGTATGGACTCTGCCCTCACAGGACTTACAGTCATGTAGGAGATGACAGATGGGGCAGGAGGGATGGCCGTTCTCTGGGGTTGGGCACCATCCCTGCTTTGCTGCGCCTCTTCCCATCCGCTCTGGGCAGGCTGTCATGGCAGTGAGCACGAGGTGTGCAGCAAGCGCCTTGCATCTGCTCCTGTGAATGCCAACTACAAAAAGGCAAGTTGATCAACACCCCAAGAGTCATTAGTAACAGATGACTGGCAACACATCTCACGACTGATTTCTGCAGTGTGACACCAGAGCGAGATGCTCCAGGACAGAATCCGAGCTCCTTGCAGGGCCCAGGGGTGCTTTGCCATCCGCCTGAGCTGTCTCTTCAGTCCCCTCTGCCCTCTTCCCTGGGCATCTTCACACACCCTGCATCTCGGCCTCACACCCCTTTCCTGCCCCTTCCCGCACTGCCTCCCAGGAAGCATGACCCCCCTTCTTTGCCTGGAAACGCCCCCTGTCTCAGGGCCACCAGATCACTCTTCTGTGCTCCTACCCCTCCCTGCCTCTCCCACGCACTGGTTCCGTGGGCAAATGGAGCTTTTCCCATACACCTAAATATAGTGGTCGTCTCTGGAGAGTGGGCTTATGTGTGTCTTTTATTTCCTTCTTGATACTTTCATATGTTCTCTGTATTTTTCCATAATGTATCTTTTCTACAATTATCTTTATAAATGGAAAAACATGTAGGTGTTTAAAAATGATTAGGGTTATTTTTATGTCTCTCACACCCTTCTATACTATGGGGTCATCCTGGCCAAAAACCAGGTCTTTTTTGTTTTGTCTTCAGAGCCTTGTGTGGGGCTTAGAACCTGGAATGTGCTCATTGTATGCCAGATGAATGAATGAATGAATGAATGAATGCTTGGGGAGGAGAGGGCAGCATTTGAGGTGGCAGCTAAAGACATGGATCTGAGCCTCACATCCTGTCTTGTCATCTGAAAAACATCATACTGTTCCTAGGGCATCTCCTGGCCGTTCCCTTCTATGGCAAGTGTGGAAGGGCGTGCCGCTCCCTGGCCCAGAGTCTCTGTCCCGCTGTCCCCACCCCACCTGACTGAAGCAGCCCGGCACGGGAGGGAGGACTGCGACTTTCACTTCATTGCAGTTGCGGGACTTGCTGTCACTGTTGGCATTTGCCACCTGTCTGGGATTTTATAGACACGCTTTCTCTGTTTATTGTGATGTGAGTTTGCACAATTTCTCTTCAGGCACTCAGAGTCTTCCAAGCATGAAGCTCCTAGAGATGAATGAGCCTTTATCAGGGGCTCAGAGCTCTTTATGCAGTGGGAGCCAGCTGTGCTCTCGGCTGTCTTAAATTTCCAGCCACATTTTCCAAACCTTTGACTGAGAGGCCAGGGCCAAAGGGGGAGACTGGCCCCAGGGGTTCGCTGATGTCTACACAGAGCTGGCAGGGATTTATTTAGCCACTCACTAAAGGGGAACAGTGAGGACAGCGACAGCTGCCTCCCTCTGTGTTGTCCGGGACAGCCAGGAACATTCACCAGTGTGGACGGGAGCTTGGAGGACCCCTTCAGGGGAGGAGAGACTCTGGGATAAGATGGGGGGAAGGCAGATTCTGTCACCTACACACCATGTGGCCTTGGGCAGGGCACTCTGCCTCTCGGAGCCTGTTTCCTCATCAGTCAAATGGGAATAATGTCACCTAAGACAATGCGGAGTTTATAATAGACATTCAGTAAGGGGAAGTCGTCTACTTCCACTGCCTTCTTTGAGCTCCCAGAGGCCTGACCTATCCCAGAGCTGTGACTCTGGCTGTCGGGCCCCTGACCTGCTGCCTCGTGTCTGCTACACTCCTGCCCTTCAGGCTGAGTTGGACCCTACCTGGTGCTCCTCCAGGAAGCGAGCTGGAGGCTCAGAGCCTCTCCGGGAAGATGAGTGAGTGGGGAGCGCAGGAGCAGAGCAGGGACTGCGGACTAGACAGAGGAGCCCAGCGATTTCTCCTGCAGGAACTTTAAGGGGTCCCCTAAGGTCTCTCTTCAAAGTGACGCCAGAGCTTGGGCCCTGACAAGCACAGGCACGGTGGCCGGGCCGACTGGCAAAGCACTTTGAATAGATAGTTAGTTCAGGCTTTTGTGCTTCTGCCTTGGCTCATTCAACTGGATCTGATGCATCACCCCTCCCCTACCGGTCTCTTCCCCTTTCATTCCTCTAGAAAACCACCCTGAGCTAAACTTCCCAAATCCAACAGAATAAAAAATGAGTTCAGGAGGAAGTTTCTGTGCTGCAATTCTGTCTTGTGAAAGAGAACATATTCCACAATTTTTTTTCCCAGAGGCAAAAAAGTCAGATACTGTTACTGTGGAGTTAGTTATACAGGGTAACTAAAAATCTGTACTTGATTTTTAATAGAGCCCACAATTTGGGCATTTGGAAAAAGTCAGACACACATGTCTGCCTCCGAATCAGAAAGTCATCCCTGTCACCATCAGCAACCCCCGCCACCATTGCTGTTTTTCCTTTTTTAAACTAGTTTTAGGCAATAAAACATGCATACACTAAAAACCACGCATCAGTGGATGAATTTTTACAAAATGAAATCATTCATGTAACTACCACCCAGACCAAGATGTGAAAGATTACCAGCATATGAGAAGCCACCCTATGTGCCCCGCCAGTCATTACAATCCTTAAAATTAATCACTATTTGACATATCTCACTACAGATTAGGTTTTCCTGTTTTTAAATTTTATATAACTGTTCTGTGTCTGTGAGATATTTCCATTTAATTGTATGTAGCAGTAATTCAGTTTTCATTGTTGTATAATATCCCATTATATAAAGAGACCACAATTTACCCAGTGAATTAAGTTGTTCTTGTACATGTCTTTTGGTGCATATATGTATGCATTTCTTTTGGATATTTTACTTAGGAGGATAAAAGTGTATGCCTGGTTAAGCTTTAGAAGATATTCCAAAACAGTTTGCCAAAGTGACCGTACCAACTTACACTCCCTCTGGCAATATATTGACAATATGTTCCATCTTCTCAACAACT